ACTCTGGCCCCTATCCGCCACGTCTGCCAGCTAGACGACCCAACCGGGGTCACAGGAGGAGGGGGCTAGACCCCCTCCTGCGGTTCCTGCCTGAGGTATTTTTATCGCGAGAAGAGTACAGCAATCCCTTCCCTCGCGACTTACGAAGTCGATAATGGTTTACCAACAACGAGCTTTGCAGCGTGTCGCTTTCATCCTAGACCAGGATTCATTTAGTGAGAAAAAAACTCACTCTGCCGGGACTCGAACCCATGACCTGGCCCTTAGCAGGCTGCGAGGTTACCCACTAGACCACCGGGGCGAACAGTGCTGTATCCCCACGGTGACTGTATAGGTTTCAGTGTAGGCTTCTTGACTCAGTACCTGTTCTTATGATTAAGTTCTTACATCTTGGAAATTGTGTGGCTCAACTTCTTAACTACTAAGCTCTTAAGTGCGGGCCGATTCTGTAGAACAAAACGATGGACTATGCATTGAATGTCGTTTTATTCTCCCGTGGGTCCGTCACCTGAGGGCAAAGGAGAGGTAGTCCAGCCACTTAAAGAGGAAGCTGTCCCTCTCCACAGTCCCCTCCAAGACGTCCGTGAACGCGCCCTGAAGAGCCTGCGTTGCCAGCGAGAAACCAAACAAAACCAAGAACCCCGTCGGGGTTGAGAGCCAGAACAAACAGATGAATTCTGTCAGCGTCAGCATTTGCTGTTGGGGACATTTCCGAAACGACGAGCACGGGGGCGTTCTTGGGAACGTTCTTAAAGCTGTACGTGACGCGCGGTAGGACTTTGCGTCGCCGTCGAGGATGGCGAGCACAAGCGCCGGCTTGGACGGACAACGCATAGACGAAACCACCAACATGCGAGGAAAACGGGAACGAAACATTGACTGCCGTCAACCACCCGAGGTCAAAACCCACCTCATGGCAAAACCCGGCCAACGAAGAACCCATGTACCTCAAGTCAGACAAAGCCGACACATAAAAACGGAGGGACACCCATGCCTGACTTTGCTACGAATTGTACAACAACGTAAAACTACGAATACACAAAAAAATGCCGCAGAGCGCCTCGCCTGTACACCCGGCCCAGCGTGTCTAAGCGCATCGACAAGGTAGGGCAGCAGGGTTATCGGCGCCCAGTAGTCCCCCCGCAGTGCAAGCGGCGGAATCGCCGCGGCCGCCTGTAACAACGGCCTCATCTTCTCCATCAACTCCCTCCTGATACAACAATAACGGAGAGATTCATCATAGCAGTGGGCGAAGACAGAAAGAGCACCATTTTCAGCTCTAGCAAGGGTTGGGGGGACATCTTTCGCTCGGAAAGTGCTCGAAACGGGCGTAGTTGCGTTCCTCGGGATGAATGCGGGAGGAAAGTTGGAACGAGTCTTGGAAGATGGAATTTCATGTATCCTGGAGTATAGGCGATGATCAGTACACAAATATCGACATCTCTGTTTTTCGTACAGCGAACGAGGGCTACCAGCAACAAACCGCACAAAATCCTTCTAGCGCTGGCGACCGATGCCAAAAAGAAATTGGAGCTCCACGAAAATGAAGAGACAGAAAGCCAAAACGCACCACTGCCTGACGTCGTCCTCTCCCCCTAGCCTCCTAAGCTCCTCCACGAACTTGTCCGGGCCGGTCGCGAAACGGAAGTATCCCTCGGGGACGTGCATCCCCCAGCCGTCGTAGCTGATCCAATCCACCTGGTTGGTTTCGGTCCCGCGCCAGCACATAGGATGGAAAGTGGTTCGAAATGACAATGCACCGAGACGACGTTGTGAGCCGTGAGGCCTCAATGTGCGAGTGGTCGTAGCAAGGAGAGACAGAGGTCCTGTGTCAACGGTGCCGCCATGAACGTCAGCCCGCGTCCCCGTACGACTGCGGCTATCAGGGTTAAAAAATACTTGGAAGTTCTATTGTACCACCCACAACCGCAACACCTCCCCATGATTCATTTTGTTTCCTTGCCACACTCCCCCCACGAGTAGTGACGCCGACAACAACAACAACACAACAACTACTACTTCCGCCGCCACCACCAACAACAACAGCAGTCGGTACTCCTTGCTCAGCTCACCTCCTCTTCCAAAACGTCCAAGATCTGTCGCAGAGGGTTCGTCCCAGGCTCCGACATCCCCGCCCACAGCGATGGTCCAGCGTCGAACCTGATCACACATTGAACAGGAGAAAACAGCCTCAGCAATCAAGAGACCGCGCGCACGTACATCCGTAGCCCAACCGCACACACCAACGGACTGGGAGGTGCTAGAATATCATATGCTCCATAACTCTGTTGACTTTACGTACGCAATGTACATCCACCATTGCAGCCCAGAACAGAACCATGGCCCTCGTTCGGGTCTTACAACAACGTCCAAATCTCTACCCGTCAAGGCTGTGAAACAGAGCCTGGACCGCTGCAAGGCACAGCCGCAGCTCGAGAGGGATAGGCCTTGAAGGCACAGGCGCATACCTCAAGCTCGCTCGGCGGACTGGCAGAGATGTGTTATTCTTACCGGTCTCTTGTAAAGCCCGGGAGGCGTTTGTCCTACGGACGCCAGTGCGAGGCGACGGCAGGTTGCCATCTTTAGAAATGCCATCGCCAATGCTATGAATGCTACAGTACTTGTACTACCACTAGTTTTTTTTCTTATCGAGACGACCTGAAGCCTTCGACATGGAAGGCGTAACGTTTCGACTATCGCCAATGCGTTCCAACTACTTGTACCACCAATCTGTTTTCGTTTCATCGAGACGACCTGTAGCCTTCGATGTCGAAGGCGTGAGCAACCCCCCCGGGAAGGTAATGCGACTCCAGGACAGTCACGGAGTCCCCGTGGCGAGAAAGCATTGCCGCCGCCGACAGCCCCCCGACACCCGAGCCAATCACGACAACGTCAGTTTCATGCGAAACGGCACCAGCGGCGACTGGACCAGGACGGGATCGTGTTTCGCTGCCGCCGCGGGGGTGGAAGACCACGTTTTTGACGAGAAAGACAGGCGTGAAAAGGGAGGGTGGTAGGCGCAAGATTAGTTAGATGCCCATGGCGATCTAACTGGGTATCAGAGTTACAGATATATACACGGAAGTATCATTAGTACGGACATAGCAACAGCAAGACTCCTGAATTTCAGAGTTAGAAAGCGAGTCTGTACCGCGAATAAGGAGACTGACACCCTCCCGGTCCCAGGCGTACCAGTGTGGCAACTGCCAACGCACATGGCTAAGAAAAAACGCCATCGAACGCGAGTTCGACGGCGGCTGGTAGAGGATCGTGGTCTTGTACGCACTTCGGAGAAGTATACCACGCGACACAAAAAAAACTAGGGAATAGAAGAGGCTTCCGAGAACACTTTTTGTACAAGACGCCTCTGTTTAGGGGTTTGGGCAATTCACGTGGAAAACCCGGGGTTAGCAGTTTTGATTTTCCTTGCCTTGGTGGGGCGTCCGAACGTGGTGGATGCCGCCGATTGGAAGACAAGGAAGAAGGTCGTGATGCTGGACTAGCTGCTGTCGGCACGAAGGCCGAGCACTGGGTGAACTGGCGCGGCAACAAAAAATCGGGGCGGGGCGTCAGAGTCAGCAACAACGGCAGCGAAGAATTTCTGCTGGACTTCGAGACAAACTTATCTCCGCCTCCGCGCCAACAAGTTCGAAAGGAACTTTAGCGTGCGTGCTTGAGCACAGCAGGACTCCTCCTTCCCCTGCCACGTGATCTCAACCTGGTAGCCTTACTGTAGCCATCCCAGTGTATGTTCACCGGATACCGCTCAGCGATCACACCGGGGGCACAGAGCACCCTACATACACCCTCCAGCTCTGCTCCGGTTGCGGAGTGAATGACCAAATACAGAAGTACAGTACACCACGACCGTGGTGTAGTGGTGGTTCTAGTCGTCGTGATCGCATTTCGACAAGACTCGGTGATACCCTCGAAAACCATGTGGCGGCTACTACGTACAGCAGCATATGTAGATCCAACCCCGGCGAGATTTGCTTCTTCCGCACAATTTCCTTTGTGTCTGAACCGTATACAAGTAGAGATCGCTTGCTCGTGGCCTTATTCCCGCCCTGTCCAGGAGAACAGCTAAAAAGCGTGTAGACAAGATGCCAAACAGTTTGCCAACGAGGCGCCTTGCTTCCCATTGCAAGCCGTCGCTGGCTTGCAGTTCCGATCTCTCCAGCATAGCAGTCTTGCCTCTGTCTGGAGCACTCTCATCCGAGGTCACAAAGGTCCATGATTGTAAAAGATCTGCGATTCTTGATGTCCCCTTGGGCCCATCTACAGCAGTTGTCAGACTTGTACGTATGATGCAGCAAGTCGTACTGGAGCTTGTTAGCTTGTTGGGCCACTGCACCACTTGCATCCAACCCCGCTCTGTAGTTGTGCCGCACTCTTGGCGCCCCTTCCAGCGTCCAGCAGACTGAAACAGGTGTGTTGCAGCCTGGATTGTCTATCGGAAGTACGGCTTCGCCCGGAAGACCGGCACAGCAACCGCAGCCGAGGTGTTGCAGCGGTTTGTGATGCAGAGTTGCAGCGAATGCATGGGCAGCAGTACAGGTGCTCTCCGAAGTCCGTTGGTTGAACAGCGAGTTTTGCCTTCTGTTGGTGCGGCTAATTCAAGTATGGTGTCATGTTTGTGCACAGGCCTTGAGGGCCTCAAGAACGCCATCGACCGACTTCTGTCTGTACACACTCCAGCCATCATGCAAGATGCCCTGCTGCTCACCTCCATAGAAACAGTCGCCACCAGGACGCACAGACCCATGGCCGAGCTTACGGCTCTCCTTGAGCTTACGGCTCTCCTTGGAGCGGCAGTTGTTGTGAAGTACATGCTGTGCTGCGGGCCGACATGTCGAAAAGATCTCATCTCGACGGAAACTGTCAGTACCGATGACCCGTTGTCGCTACCAGACGACGTCTAAGGGTGTGGCCTATCTTACCCAATCGTACGACGTCCTCCTACATGCAGACACGCGCTAAACACTCAAGACACGAACAGGAACGCATAAGAAAGGACATCCCCTTCGAAATGCCTGACCGAGGAGGCCCCGCAACGGAGTTATGCAGCCACGGAACGCCCTGTATTTTTGACCAATGACCAGAAACGGGTATACCCGGGTACTATATCACCGCTTTAGGGTACAGTTAGAAATCAACACGCTTGCACCCCCAGGCTGTCAGCTGATTGGCCGAAAAATCGTTGTACCCATTTCTGAAGAAACCTCCGTCAGGTACAACCTCCGCTGGAATTAGGACCCTCTGGTGTGACCGATATTGGTTACTGGTGTACCCGGAAGAGGTCAATTTTGTACCCAGAAATTGTCATATAATCCCGGCGCCCGACGCTCTTCCATTAAACCCGCAGAAAAAACCTTGTACCGCACATACCGTGTACCACACATACATAACCACAACCAAACCACCAACAACGCTCGCTCGTTCATCCTTCATGGGCACCGCCTCCATATGATACCGGCCCTTCTCAACAGAGGGTCGGACTCGTTTGACGCGCGAGTACTTCGGTGTGGTACTGATCAGTAAAAGCACAGAGACAGAGAAAAACGGGCATGATCTGCCTCGTGCATCATGCTTCCGAGGCACAGGACACACAGGACACAGACAGCGGTTTATTGGTTTCGCCGCGGTCTACGGCGGATGCTGTCGAAGATTGGTGTCGTCTTGGTTTCCAAGTGTACTCTGAAATAAATGGTTATAATCTATCCGGGTATGCCCGTTTCTGGTTACTCTTCTTAATTTTTTGAATTTGGTGCGTTGGTGCATGCAAAGCAACACGCTATATATTATGTTCTTTGTCTATATTTTCTAGATAAAAACCCTAGGTATTTTTATTTAATTAATTGTTTTTGGTGTTTTGGAAGACAAGTAGCATGTGTAGAGCCTTCTGGGAGGAATTTTCTGGTGTGAGACAATTTTTTATTTTCTTTGAAGTAAGGTGTACCCCCCCCCCTACGGGAGGCAGTTGGCTTATGACTACGGAATGCGTCCGCGTCAGGTGGACCAGTACGGACATTATAAGATACTGATTGGAGACCGGAACGGGTTTTTAATGTGAAGACAACAACAACAACAACAACAACAACAACAACAATAGCAGCAGCACGGAGTACTCGGCAGTACATGTAGTCTAGATACACGACGAGGGGATTCACATTCTTATTCCATGTACAGCTACTTATCTAGTCTATGCTCACACCCACCACGACGTCTGCCCCCTACCCCCTCCGTGCTGTTCGGAACACAGCATCTTGTCTACAATCCATCTATGAAGACAAAAAACATTCCGAAACTAGTCTAGACCATCGATGGAGGATTTCGTGTCTTCACCCTTTTGCCCCTCCCACCCGGCTCGTCACCTCCCCCCCCGGTGTTTGCCATCGGGGTTGGGTTTTCGTCGCTTGGCAACGACGTTGTAAAACAAGCCAATCCACCTCGTGAACTCGGCAACCAGGTTACCGTTTTTTTCTTTCCTACGGTTTTACTTTTGGCGGTAACCATAATGGTGGTCGAGTAGATCATGTTGTGCGGGGT